TTAACAAAAGAGCGATGACTCCCTTTTTTTGCTTATTAACTCCATGCTGCGTGTTAATTTAGTTTATTTTGTCGTCTTCTTTTTCCGTTTTTCCCTTTTTTGTGTATTTCTCGTGGTTGTAACGGGTGCCCATGGAGAATATATGATTGGGGAGTAAAGGGGATTACGGATGTTGACAGTATGTTGTTTTGTGTGTGCGTGTGTTTTTGTTTGTCTAGTTGTAAAGGATGAAGTCAAGTAAGGAAGTTGCAGCTGAAGAAGCGGTGAGGGCGGGAGGGCGCGAGGGCTTCTGCGGCGTACGGGGCCGTCACAGATATGCCTCTCTCCTGTTTGCCATGAAGGTGGCAGAGAAGGGAAAGGAACATCCGGATGAAGGGATTGTCGTTATTGATAACTGTAATATTTTTTTTTGGAATCTTATTTATTTATTTATTTTTTTAATGGAGCTTTACTTCTTTATTTATTGTGGCTGCCTTATTTTTACATTCGCTTTAAGGGAAGGTATAATTCTGAAATCAAGTAAGAAAATTTACATTGATTGGTTTATTATTATTATTATTATTATTATTATTTCTTTTTTTTTTTTTGGAGGGCCGGGGAGAACAGCAAATGTCAAGGGAATTCTCGCTGGTCGTTTTTGGGGCCACAGGCTACACGGGCAAACTGGTCTGTGAGTATCTCGCACGTCTGGGTTTGGGCAAAGTGGGACCTTGGGCGATTGCGGGCCGCAATAAGGAGAAACTTAATCAACTGAAGCAGGAACTTGGCGTGAATCTCTCTGTGCTTGTTGCAGACATCACCAGTCCCAGTTCTCTGGATAAGCTCTGTGCCAGCACCAGTGTGCTCGTTTCATGCGCCGGTCCCTTCACATACTTTGGGATGCCCGTTGTGGAGGCTTGCGTTCGCAGTCGGACGCATTACGTGGACTCGACGGGTGAGTATAATTTTGTCCGTCAGGTTATTGAGAAATTCCACGAGGAGGCAAAGAAGCAGGGCGTTGCTCTGGTGTCCTGTTGCGCGTTTGACAGCGTCCCTGGAGATTTGGGCAACTACTTTGTGCGTCAAGGGCTCGGTTCAGAAGTGGCGGAAGTAAAGGCGTATTACCAGATGGCGCGTGGCGGGATGTCGGGTGGCACGGCACACTCTGTTATGGCGGTGCATGAGTCGTGTGGTTTGGAAGACAAGGATCCTTACAGCCTGCTACCGAAAGACGCTCCACGGCCCCCTACAGCTCCTGCGCGGAGAGGTGTGTGGTACGACTTCTCGGAGAGGAGGCTGACGGGGCCGTTTTTTATGTCTGCCACCAACGAACGCATTGTGCGTCGCACGAACGCTTTGCTTGGCTACGGTGGCACGTACGTGGAGGCGATTGAGGGGACTTTGGGAGCTGTTGTTGGCGCAACCATCACGAAGTACATGATGACGGCGGTCCTTGCCGTTCCTTTTCTCCGTCGCTACGTCGCCGAAAATTGGCTGCCTCCGGCTGGAACCGGTCCCACACAATCGCAACGAGAGATGTCGTGGTACAAGTGCATTTTTGTTGCCACTGACAAGTCTGGAAAGGTCCTGCGGAGGGTCTTTCTCTCGGACACAAGAGACGGATACACGGCAAGCGGCCTTTACATTTCCGAATGTGCTCTCAGTGCGCTGCAGATGGCCAAGGAAGGCACGCTGGGCTTCGGTGTATTGACACCTATGGCTGCCTTTGGCGACGTTTTGCTCCGGCGTGTTCAAAACGCCGGCGTAGTCGTGGAGGCGGTGGAGGAGGCAACAACGGGTGCAGCGACACCCACGCAGTGAGTTGGAGGGAAACCCTCAGATAGTAGCAGTGCAAATCGGGCGCAGTCTTGCATCTGCATGGCAAAGTGTGCACTGCATAGGAAACGTTTATAGCAATTGCATTGCTTGCACGTTTATTTTGGGCATCTCAAAAAAAAAAAAAAAAAAAAAAAAAAATAGTTTCGTCCGTATGACTTTTTCCATTTTTATTTATTTCGGCGTGTTTCCTCTTCACGAAGGGTGCACAGTGCATCTACGGGAAGTGGGTGACAGAACTCCCTGTTTCAGAAACTCCGTGAGCACACACACAAGAATGGGGTACCGCACATGGATTTTTTGATTTTACTGCGTGGCGAGAGCGGCCGCTTTTATGGTCTTTTTGTTTTCTTGCCACGTTCGACGCACTCTTAATTAACGCTGGTACAAAAACATTTCTTTTTTTTTTCTTTTTTTTCTTAGGAGCTTGTGAAGAGAATGATAGCGGGAGGGCTGGCTAACTTAATTAATGTATGTGTACATCCTGATAAATGAATGCATTCTTTATGATACTCTCTACCGTATGGATCTTTTGGGAAGAATACCACTTTGTAGGGGCAGGGAGCCGATAGAGGCCAGATAAATTTTGTTTTTATTTTGCCACCCACCCTAACCCCCTTGATTCCCACCTCGCGGCGGTGTCTTGTGGTTGGAGGAGCCCAAGGTTTTCCACTTCGTAAGTAATAAATACTTCAGATCCCAACTGAGGACAAAGGACCATGCTAATGATCCACAGAATTTTACATATTGAATGAAAAGAAAACATTGAAGCAATTAACTAACGAACTTTTTTTCCTAACCTGTTTGGTTCCATAGATAATTTCAGGATCCGGCCAGCTGCCCGGAAGATTATTCTGCTTTTTTTTTTTACCCTTGTCTTTATCTTATAGACTACTTATACCGCGCTGCTCACACCAAGCTGACCAATGTAAGTTCCCCAAGCCATGCGCAGACTTCACTGCTTTTCCCGCTGTTGGTGTTGCTTTTGGTGCACTTTGCCGTTGGGGTGCATCGCCGATCCTTCCAGGGCGGTGGCAATGAATTGGGAAACATGAAACTCACCAAAGTGGAATTTTGCCGTATGTGCTTTTCAAGAGCGTCCTGCGTGGAGATGAACGACGACGTGATGCGTTTTTTGTAACTTTTTTTCCTTTGGGGTGTGAACTCATGTTTCACGTGCGGGGAAAGGAAAGTTGAGTCACGACGGTGGATGCATGTTTTATGATGTGTTGGCGACAATGACGTCTTGTGCCATGTAAGTGCGAATGATCCTTTTTTTTTTTTTGATGGAACGCGAAGCCACCGTTGGTTTTGAATTCAGGGAGGACGGAAGATTTGGGGCTTCTCTTGCGGGAATCAATTTCAGGCTACCGTTCTTAACTTTTTTTTTTCTTGTTTGTTTGTTGTATCGCACGGTGAAGGCCTTGTGGTAGGCAAGCTGAGATGAATCGCGTTGCTGTGACTCTGCATGTATGCGTTGAGGGTGTCGTTTCCAAATATTCTTTTGTTTCTGCTGACTGCGTGATCTTTTTTTTTATCCGTTGTTTTTTGTAGTTTTTTCTTTGTTTGTGATCTGAGCATAGTTCTTGCCTTCCGTGTGTGTGGGTGCGTTGATTACTTGTGGGTCTTATGCGATTTTCTGCCCCAGTCACTTTAGGCGCCGCCATCGGCGTCTGCATGCTCTCTGCGATGGGTGTGTTTGCGGCAACGAGAAGGGAGGCGTGCTTGGCACGGATGTATCCGCAGAGTGCCGGTTTCTACGGTGCACTGGGCGCTGCTGTCGCTCTTGTGTTTGCGAATCTCGGTTCTGCTTATGGCGCCGCTAAGGCTGGTGTGGGCGTGGCACACCTGGGGCTCTCCGCACCGGAAAAGATCATGCGTGGCATCGTCCCTGTTGTTATGGCAGGCATTCTCGGCATTTACGGTCTCATTGTGGCTGTGATCATCAACAACAACATCAAAACCGAGCCGCACTCGTACTCGATCTTTTCGGGGAATTTGCATTTGGGAGCCGGGCTGGCGGCGGGTTTGGCGGCGTTGGCGGCGGGCCTCTCGATCGGCGTCGTTGGTGACACCGCCGTGCGGGCGTACGGTAAGCAGGATCAGGTATTCGTAGCGATGGTGCTGATGTTGATTTTCTCTGAGGCCCTTGGCCTGTACGGCCTTATCATTGCGCTCCTGATGAACAATCAGGCCAACCGGTACGGCGCGCTTTGTGAGGTGGAGTGATGGCATGAACGGCGTGCCGTTGCTTGGCGCAGAGAAATGATGTGGCACCTCCATTTCACTTGTGGGTTGGCGTGTGTCTATGCCGCCGCCCCCTGGCGTGGTCATTGCTTCACGCAGCGAAATACAGCTGAATTTGGGAAGGGGAGTGAGGGATTGTGTGAAAGGGAAGATAGGAAGAGTTTGTTGAGGAGGTGTCTGTGCAGATTTCCGGGAAAAAATCCAACTGGCTTACTTCCCTCTTATCCGCTTGTTTTGTTGTTGTTGTTTTTGTTGTTTCCTTTAATGATTTGTTTTTTTTTCTTTTTTTGCCGACGACACTTCTTTGAGGCACCGACTCTCACAGAAGAGAAAATTATTGTGAGCCAAATGTCAACAACTTGTGGCTTTAAGGGCTGCTTGAACCATACGTACTTGGTGATGCCAGTATGTACCCACTGCGGGAAGCGCATGTGCACGGCTCACTTGCTTCCAGAAGTGCACGGCTGCGGCGACGCCGTAAAAAATGCATCGCAGCGCCAGGCAACCGCGGATGCGGCGGAGATGCGGCGGCGGCGCAAGCACCTTGGCCTCGATGACGTCAAGGCGCGGTTGGATCGCCGCCGGGAAGAACTCGCGACACAACGAAAGAAAAAGTCATCGAAGGGGAAACAATGACTGAGAGCGAAGCCAAGGTGTATTTCACGGCAATTCAGTTTGGACTGAGGGTGAGTACGCAGTTGTGTCTTTTTTTTTTTTTTTTTGGAAGTGAAGTGGAGATGATGACGGACTCGATTGCTGGAGGATTGGGGGGCGATATTTTGCCTGGCTTATTCCCGTGTGTTGCCTATGATGTCATATGCTTCCTTTCCTGCCTGCGGCACAGTCCTAACTTCCCTCTCTTTCTCTTTCATTCATCCCTCTCTTGCTTGACTGGGCGTTTTGCTTTGTTTTTTCTTTTTGTAGCCACTATTAGCATCATGGAGTTTGTTCCAACCTTTCAGACTGCCGGCAAGGACCACGAAGTGTTTGTCAATCATGGCGGCGCGTACTGGCTCAACCCAGTACCGCACGGCACGTTCCGCTCACGCAGTGCATGCACCATAATGAAGGCAACGGAAACCATTGACCCTTTCGGGAACCCCAAACGACCCGATAGGCCCATTGTGTTTGGACTGTCCC